ATATACACACACACACACACACACACACACACACACACAAATATACACAAAAAATATTATCAATTTATAATATAAAATTCTTAATTTATTGGTAAATTGTTTATAAATAAAAAAGTACAATAATAATAAAAAAAGTACAATAATAACAAAATAAATTTTTGCTTGTTATAAATATATTATTAACATCATAACATATAGTTATATGCATAACTTTTATTATATAACCATTATTATTAGCAATATAAAATTTACCAGTTATTGTTAAATTGATGCAAAAATAAAATACAAAAACTATTAATAATACTAATATTTATTATTAATACTATTACTATTAATAATAATAATATGTACTAATACTAATGCAATAATAATAATAATAGTGTAAATATATAAAATTCTTCAGTGATTGTTAATATAATTTGTTTTTATTGTACATCACATTTTAGATATAAAATATATATAAAATCAAAGACACATAAAAATATAAATTAATATTAATAATACTACTACTAATAATAATATTATAAGACTACTGATCTGCATTACCTACATTTGATTCAAGTCATTTATAAAGTAATACCAGAATAAGTCAGTTTTAGGCCTATGAAAGAAAAACTTCAATGCAGGGTTAGATAGTTTATCATTATTCAAGCTCATCATTCATTAACATTCATTTCAAGTAAGGTAAAGGAATAAAGCGAGGATGAGTAATACAATTACAGTGACTGTAAACAGACAGCTATGAAAGCATAAGATGATATTAAGCTCAACGTCAAACCTCTACGTTCAATTATCAGTCTGCGAACACAGTACAGAGTCTGGGATTATTTAACCTTAATGCCAAGAACCATTAGCGCTCTCTGTGATTATTACTCATGGCCAACAATGCTTAATGCTCATCATAAGCTGCAGCTGTTCTTCCTCGACCATTTGATTTCACAAACTCTACTGCACGCATGAGCCCATTTGATAGTCTAATTATGGGCTTTGTTGAATTAAATTAAAGCTTTTTGGTGGGTGACAAAGAATTAAAACCAGAGATAAATGTGCCAAATTCATTTAAAATGAACTTGAACTACTCCAAAGTAATTAGTCCATTTCTGTGTTGACATGCATCCTTCATGCTCTTGGGTGTGTTCATGATAAATGGGTTCGGCAAAAATCTCTTATACAGATCTATTTAATAAGAACAACTGAATTAAACTCAAGTTTCTGATTCCTCAGAAGAACGTCAATGCAAAACAATGTCTGTACACTAAATCCAAATTTGGCTTTTCGATTTCATGGTTTCTACAAAGACAACAGGTGTACACTGAAAAACGTTGTAAATAAAACAGATCAGTGGAGCGCCATTTCAGTCTTTTAACATGGTATGTCCAATTCAATGTGTCTTTGTAATAAGTTATTAAATTTACCAGCAATTTCTGAGAGAAAGCTGTTTCAAAGTCAATTCTACAGCAAATTTTATTCAATGAATCTTAACAGGAAACTCATTCCTTCCAAAATACATCATGCTGTTTAAAGACTATGAAACATGCACAACAAGACCAAGAAAGTGTATTAAAAACTAAGTTTAGTTTAATTTTCAGATGTCCGAATGCATATTCCGCAACACAGCAAACATAAAATCTGCACGAAGTGAAAGAAAAATAGAAAACGGAAAGGCAAGATATGGCTGGTTGTTAATGCGATGACTGAAGAAGCATAAACATTTGTTCCTATTGTGACTCACTGCTTGTTCACCAAAGCCAACCTGCAGAGGAGGCCTGTAACTGATAGAGCAGCTGGTGTTTGCAATGCCAACATCATGCGTTTGATTCCCAGGGAACACATTAACTGATAATATGAATGCAGTGCAAGTTGCTTTGGAAAAAAAGTGCCAGCCAAATGCATATTGTGAATGAAAAAGGCCAACAAATTGAAGAAATCGCCATCTTTACTACACTCTTAAAAATAAAGGTCCCAAAAGGGTGTTTTCTCAGTGATGCCATAGAAGAACCATTTTGGTTCCTTTTGAACAACCTTTCAGATGACAGTTCTTAAAAGAACAAAATACATTTTAATTGAACACATTTAAACATAAAGGTTCTTTTTTGGAATCTACCGAGAACCTTTAACATCCATGGAACCTAAAAGGTTCTTTATAGTGGAAAAAGGTCTTTCCATTGGACAATAGTGGAAAATGGTTCTTTAGATTATTAAAATGTTCTTCATACTAAAAAATAATGGGTATTTTAAGAACGGTTGACTGAGAGGTTCTATGGGGAACTAAAAATGGTTCTTCTACGGCATCACATTGAAAAACACCCTTTTGAAACCTTTATTTTTAAGAGTGTTCAGAACCTTTTGCCAGGATTTGAAATCAGAAGAATGGTGACGTCACGATTTAACCTCGACACGCCCTTGACATGCGTCATCAGCGTATGTAATCAAGGAGGCATGTTCTGAACGACTCACGTCTGTCCATCAATCACAAGAGCCGTAAAGCTGTTGCATGAAGATGCCGAGTAAGACCATCAAATTCAGATGTTGTTCTGTCAGGGGATATTAAAAAATTGCATATAGTTTTAAAAGTGCTATTATTACAAAAAACGCTGCAGCTCTTAAAAACAAAGGTTCCAAAGATTATTGCAGTGATGAGAAAAAGTTCCAAAAAGAACCTTTAAGTGATCAGTTCTTAAAAGAACCATTTTTAAAAGAATATTTTAATGATCGAAAGAGCCTTTTTCCATTATGTGTGGAATGGATAGGTTCTTCGTGGAACCACTGATACCAATAAAGAACCGTTATCTTTAAGAGTCCAAGTAGGTTTAAGAATTCCTCAAAAATGTATAAAAATTTTATTTAAAATTACTTTACAAATATTGGACTTTTTAAACCAAGACTTTATAAACTAACCTCGAGAAACGTAATATAAAAATCTGAAACTGCATTTCTTTAACTGAACAAAAAACAACTCAAAATATGGTGTTGGAGAAAACACTGCCGGCCTTGTTCAGCTTTCCCTCCCTTCCCCAGCGAGCGCTCTTGAATTTACAGTCGTGTTACTAAAAATTCACAAGACCACAGTGTTTGCGAGGGAACTGCGGAGTCACGCACAGTACTCATTTAGAGCCGATGCGTCTGACATGAAAGGAAAAACATCGAGACGATTTCATTGGACGACCAGCATTTCTCTTGACGGAGGAAGGGCGACTGCGGGCTCTGCTTCAGCTCCTTCTCTCCAGTTGGATGCCGTACATTGGCTGTACTTTAGTGTGTCGCGGTAAGAAAGCGAACACATGGCTTCAGCCGGGATTACTGGAGGATTAGACTGAGGGTGTCACATTCGGACACCTGTCCTCTGCTACACTACTGTAAGTGCTGTTTACACACACACCACAAACATCTATACCTGAGGACTATTAAAAGGTCATGTTAAACCCACTGACATCGATAACCCACATGGAAAAGCCTGATGAGTGTTAAAGAGCTCAATGAGAGCCACTTGCCAGTAAAACCAGTGTGGACCTGCAAACAACAACAACAAACCTCTTTAAATCCAATCAAATGACAAATCTTTAATGCACAATGATGGAGTGCTCACCAACTACATCACAATACAATACACTTCACATTGTATGATTGAATACATTGCAATGCATCACAATATCATTAAAGATGAATGATATATCGGTATGATATCGGTTATCGGCCGATATTAGATATTTGTTTTAATTATCTTAAATGGTCAATATTGGATATTCAATAATTACAGTATATATTATAAAATTTTTATGTATTTTTATATTAGAATTTTTTTTTATCATATTACATTAGAACATTTTTAGTAGGGATGCTCCGATCCGCCTTTTTCACCTCCGATACAGATTCCGATACCTAGGGTTCAGTATTGGCCGATACCGATACCAGTGAAGTTTTTTTTCCCTCATTTAAATAAATGTAGAATTTATATATCTCTGTGTGTGGAACTGATAATCATTCTTTCACAATCTACTAAATACAGACTACTTCATATTTTGTGGGGAACAAATAAAAGTGTTGCACTAAATATGGTAAAATGTTACACATTGCTATTTGTATTATTATAAAACCCATTTGAAAACATTCATGAATGTATTTATTTATAAGTATAAAATTAAAATACGTTTCTTTTAAATGTATAGCATATTTTTTTTAATAAGGCAACAACATATGATAGATTCGATAGGTAAATACAGTGACATATCATGGATTCGATAACAAATGCAGTGCGGCACGAAGCGCTTACAATATGCGCATCCAGTGTGCAGAATGATGCGCTTGCATTAAAAACTGCAAAGCACAAAGGGAAGAGAAATTGATGCGTAGTGTATTATATCTGTGCAACAGTTATTGAGCCTTTCTTTTAACAGTTTTAAATTTCAGTTACTGTGCACGTTAATCTTTTCTACGCCCGTGTTTTGTTCTCACAGACACCCGGTAGCAAGTAACAAACCAACATTAAACTCTGGCAAGAAGATGAAGTCCTTTTTGCAAAATCATAGACATTTATTTACAAATAAAGTATAATAATGGAACACAGAATGATCTTGGAGAGAGCTTTACCGAGCTGACTGCTGTAACTGAACGCGACCAGGGTTTAAAGGCTGAACGAATGACTGACAGCCACAGCGGAGAAAAGAGTTTTTGTGAACTTTAATGTAAGGACTTAAATATTCATA